GTTTATTAACGTTACGATATAACGGTTTATTAACGTATACGCATAAACAATAGCCTCCTTCGTTGGAGTGCACTGAATGCCGGTCTTTGTTTCTGCCTCTGCGACAGAGGAGGTTAGTTCCACTTATCTTTCGCCATTATAATTTATTCTATAATTAATTATTTCGCACGCGTTACTTTACTGCAACCACAGAGACCGAAGCACAGCCGAGGTTCGTGAACTTTGACGTTCTACTGTATTTTTTGCAGGGACAGTCACGAGAATCGCGCGTCCGCATCCGCGGCCGACTGCACCCTGGCCCTGCCATGTGTGTGCATCGCGAAGTGTTACGCGCGAGTAAAAAGATCCGCGAAAGCCTCCATTTCTCCAAGCAAAGTGTCGTAACGATCGAATCCTTGATGTTTAATGAACAGTTATGCACATGCGCGATTTATATTGTCGGATTACGTCGACTAGTCAACCCGACGTTGCCGGCGCGCGATGAATATTTATGCGGACCCTCGGCTGGCGAATAGTCGTATCACGTTGCCGTTCTTGCCTAGCGACACGACGATTAAGACGAAAAATATCAGCACTTTCTCGGTTACCGTTATCGAGAAAAGAGACGACGATAGCCGCGCTAATGTCGAGAGGAAATGTACTCGTTGATCGAGCTCTTTGCGTGAAATATAAACGATTATGTAACGAGAAAAAATCAGGTTGGAGAGCGGTACAGAAAATAATGTAATGTACGGCCAACACACGGCGTATCGATTAAGATGCGCTGGTTGCGAGCAAGCAATTAGAACGATGCAAAAGAAATCTCGCGAACCCTGCTACTGCAGCTCTCTAAACGTGTTAGGATTTTTAGTTTCATCACTACGGCGTAAAGACTCTTGGGAATTATGTAGCGTGGCAGCATATAATAACCGTAACTGTTCTCCTTGCTGAGAAAAGATAACCGCGAGAGTAACCGCGAGGACGTTATATATTAAGAGCACCTATCCGGCAAGAGCACGCTCATACCGTTACGGCATGGCTACACTTATCTCGCACTGTGCAAGATAATCGTTAAATTCCTGCCCCAGCGTTATATAGAAAGAATAAAATGATTACTCGCACTCTTGAGATAATCTTACACAAAAGGCAGAAGCAAATCGCGTAGAGATCAAGCAAGAATCGTAGAACAGTATCGAGTACGTAGTCAGTGTCGTATCTGAGAAAGATTTGTCGTATCACGTGGCATATTATTGTTATTATTTACGGAAATTTAAATTGTATTGATACGAAAGATGGACTGCTTAATTGAGCAAAGACACTCGATCTCCGAGATGTAATTATCACCGACGATATGTCTGTTAGTTTGACTTGCATTCGAGAAATAATATTGCAACGAGTAAAATTTAATTGCGTTTCAGAGTTTGTGCAAATTAAGAATTTACGTGAAATTTGCGGCAACTTGCATGGAATGCTCAAAATTGGAAAAATCTCGCTGCACGAGAATGATAATCAAGAGTCGATATCCGCATGCTCACAAAAATTGCCTCGCGAGTCGTTAATGACAGAGACAACGTATCAGCGATCATGTTGTTACAATTTATTCCAACATTTGTCGAACTCGTTCTCGGAAGAGACTACGATAACTCCCGGTATTACGCTTTAACACTGTCGTCAACTTTAGCGCTGTCATATCGTTACAAAGTCGTCGAGAAACCGGAATGCACGGAGATCGGCCGGCAACTCATCGCATACTACTTAAGCAGAACTTCGCTCACGGTGTAATCTTATTTTTCTTTTTCTTTTTTCGAACGCAACGAATCAACGCGAATCTAAAACGTTCGAGTTCGTGCGCTTAGAGTTTATGATTGATTATAGCGATTATAGCGATTTTCTTGCGGTGCATCGTTTGATCATGCTTTGACTCTCTTTAAATTTCGTCACGTTTAAGAACTGAAAGACGTCACTTTCATCGGATATTACCGATCATACATCGTCTGAGAAACGTGGTAAAATATATTAATCACCAAACTGTCGACGTATTAACAGCAAAAATAAAATTTTTAATATCGGGGAAGTAGTCGAGAGACGACATCAGGCGCTTGTGATGACTGTATGTTTATCGAAATCAAGTTGGTTAATATTAAGAAGAGATGTTTATGAACTCTTGCATAAAGCCATAAAAGAATAGAAAACGTTCGTGTTAACGACTCATAAAAGTTTCAAGTACAGATATTCCCAACTATTAAATACGCGATCCTTTTAACATCACGTCGTAAAATATAAACTTTAATGTAACGTTCTAGGCATGCAAGTACGTATTGATGCCTGAATATCCGTAAGTATCTGCGAGAATCCCGACGTAATAATAACCATTTTATACCGATTTGTTAAAACCTCTTCGATGTGTCGGTCATTTTACGACTTGCTTCGGATTCCTTCGACCGAATATCGATAAGCGTGGTAAATATTCGCACGCATATGCACAAATCGTGTATGTATAAAAGTACTACGGGATAATGTCTAGTAATGTAGAAATGATTATATAGCACTTATGCAACTGCTCATGCTGCTCGGGCCATCAGGGGAACAGAATCTCGTCGATAATTCGTACGACGACGATTACTCGAGTGGCATGTGTGAGAGCTCATGACATTTCAGTATCATTTACAATTCGTTTCGTTTTAACGGCAGTGAAATGACGTACGTTTGTCAATCACATTGTCGAGAATTCGGATCACGGAGGTCACGGAGGCTGTCCGACATCAAACGGATTTAAAATGAAGAAGATGAAAAAAGAAGATGAACAAAGCCGCGGAGAGCAACCGATGTTCTCGGCATAAAAGGTTCCCTGAGCATATGAAAGATCGAAGAGGCTGGGGGAAGGGGAAGGTTAGGAATCGGAGTGTGCAACAGGTAGGCAATCTCGGTTTTCGTCACGTATACACATACACATACACATATACATGTATATGTATATGTACGTGTTCATCAACGAGCAGGTGTACGGTAGTAAATAGATGACCGGTATGCATATTAAGCAGGCACATTTCCGCGACGTATACACGTACGTGCGTACATTGCGCAGATGTATGCGTATAAACCTATGATATAATGAAAGACTACTTTTTACGATCGGACGGAAGCCTGGGATCCCAGGAAAGGCGTACAGAATATAGCGCGCAAAATAATATAAAGAAGACCAGCGTCTCGGAGTCTTCGGAGAAGTTAGTATAGCGATCGTATCGGCCGCTTATAACAAATTAATCGGCCACAAACGGCCGCAAATCCCTGCGCTACCGTCCGTTTTACAAGTACAAACGACCATAACACGGTGAGATTGCAACAAATGAGCCGAAGTGAGCACGGCGAATACACGAGAAAAATACAAAAAGGAAAGATAATTATCGCTATTAAAAGGAAGTTGAAACGCCTCGAAACGAAGAAAGGAAAATCTCTCAAGTTGCAACGCGTATCTGCCTTATGCAGGAAATTGCTTCATTAAATTCGATTATCGCCGATCGTTTCCGTTAAACCGATACAGTCTCGGATCGAGACGGAATATTTACTTCTCACACACGACAAGGGAAGCGCGTACTGCAATTGTAGTCGGTGTCTCGACGTATCTCTCTCTCTCTCTTAAACCTTGTATTGATCTAACAAAATAATCTCGCTACCTCGGCACTGCTCGTCGACAAACTCGGTGACGTACTCCTTCCCCCATGTTCTAAACATGAAAAGTATGTGTGACTGTCGCTCGTCGTACAACCACCATGTAACTACCCACATAGAGTTTCACGATCGTCCCGGTAACGGCCCAGAGTTGAATTATAGTCGGGTGATAACTTGAGTAAGAGTTGTAAATGATAATGATAATAACTCGACAGTAACACAGTGTAGTTTTTAACTATATCTCAATGTCGTTACATTGTACAAATACGTAATACAGATAATAATAAAAATGGAGAGAGATTCACACACTGCTATCTCATCGCCGCGAAGAAATCACTTGTAAAAGCCATAAACCGTATTATATAAACAGGTATCTTAATTAATCGCCAGCGCTGACCCGATAACGAGTGACGAATCTTTGATTGGGAGTCACCCCCACCAGTTAAGCACCGTTGTAATGACTGGTAATTTTATACAAGCACGTGGATACACTTTTCAAGATTTATGTTGCCTGGAATATTTACTGAATAACGGACGATTATACCGGAGAAAATATATCGAATCACTACATAGCGGAGTTTCCGCGCTATGGACAAGTCGAATATTCTCGAGTGCGACCTCGGATATTCGCGTTAAGCTTCGTGTGCGCAATTTCGACGACGGCAGCCCTGCGCAATCTTGTTGCAATATCGTATAACTCTGAAGCGTTTGATTACAGCTCGCCGTTCGCTCGCGTAATCATACGATAAATGCCATTCATCACACACATCACGACGTAAAGGTTACCGACACCATCATTGATAAATAACACGTTACAGATGTTACTGCATGAGATCTACGCGAGATGTTCAAATGCCAGACAAATGACATCTTGTGCCTCAGCGTCATGACGTGTGACATTATTCGTAGAAAGCTCGTGAATCCGTGACGATACACGCGGCGAGACGCAACGCGACGGATTTGATCGCTGCAAAACGTGCCATCGCGAGACTGCGAGTAACAACAGCTGACTGTGACAGCTGACCGTCAGCGACGTGAACATCGGATAATCCTTTCGTTTCGATTTAAGTCCGTTAGAGAGAAAGAGGATCGCGCGAATACCAAGTATTCGTACATTTTCATTTCATTTGGTGCTCCTTGCGATCCCATTTTTTGCTTCTTGCGATGATTTTCACAAAGTACGTAATTACTCGCGAAAACTAGCATGGTCCGTTGCAAATGTTTAAATATAAGACGTTAGCTGTAATGCTGGATTTTGGTGTCACTGTTTTCTCATGTCAGCGCAGAAGAAATAAAAAGATGCAAAATCATTCATGCAACAAATGAAAAAGGTATGTCAATGTTACACTCACTCTTTCGTTTCTTCTCCACAGGTTCGGGTGTATCCTCTACATCGGAAGGCGATGGATCCACCTGCTAAGAGAAGATCAATTACGATCGTGACACAATGATATTGAAAAGAAAGCAAAAATTACAGCTGTAAGATACCGCATGGCAAATCTCTATCGCCAGAGTAAAATAAAAGGATTCTTCGCTCATATAAATTCAAAGTTAATTATTTAATTTGTACGCAAGGCTGATGGATCGAGAAAAGGGTCCAAATCAACGTTTCCACGAGAAACGCATTCGTACGGATCTCGTAAACAAAGCCGGATTCAACAGAAGTTGGGAAACCAACAGATGTTTAGTTAAAGACCCGGCTGTGTGTGCGTGATAGTTCACGGCGTTTATAGATCGTCGACCGATATACGCTATTCTCTTACCCAAGATCGTGCCTAAATATCCCCGCTATCTCGGTATAGTGAAACTGTTTGGTAGTCATTTTAAAGCTGCGAGCACAAACATTGATAATATCCGTGGTGGTAATTACTCCGACTCGAGACGCGAGTGAATTCGATGGCGTTAAATTCGCGCGCGATCGTTTAAACGTTGCCAACGATAATGTAAGATAGCCGATCCTGCGAGAGAATCTAAAACTTCTCTCGCAGGATCGCGAAAATTGAAATTAAAAGTACGCGACTCCTTGGTCCCGAATACGTCTAAGTCGTAAGCAATAAAAAAGCTCACACGAACATCTGCTCACGGTATTCTACACGATTGTCAGGCGGTTTTTCACGACCACGACAATTACACCAGATCCCCGTGGAGACCGTGTGTACCTTCGCCTTGAGGAACAAGAAAGGACTAACCTCTTCGGGCAATCTTCCAGTGAGCTTCCTATGCTCGTCCTGCTTGCGCGCTCTTTGTTGACGCGTCTTCTTCGCCATCTTCCTCTGGCGAGCCAAAGTTTCCGTGCATTTGCGGCACATGCAGTACCGGTACTTGCAGTACCTCTTGTGGCCCTTGAGGCCGATGTTCACGTTATGATTGCGGCATCGCGCACAACCAGGTGGTGTCCGCGTGCCCACCGAGGATGTGTTCGATTCCGCTGGCTCAGATCCGTTCGTATCCTCGTTATCCATGACGTTCATCTCTTTCGGATTCTTATTGAATCTCTATCCTCTGTATCCACTGGACGAAAAGACCGTACTACCGATCTCGCGTCTGCCTTCACACGACCGAGGGGAGTGATCGTAATCGGATCTCTCTCTCTCTCTCTCTTTCTCTCGCTCTCTCTCTCTCTCTCTCGCCGACGTTAACCGAAACTGAGTTGGACGACAAAGTTGGTGAGTAATCTCACAAACGAAATCGCGGTTTATATCGTTATCGTACGTATAAAAAGTTGCAGCCCGTGAAACGATTCTCTCAGTGTTGACATCCAAGTGTCCTTGCTACCTCGCTGCCTGAAACACACAACAGAGGTTGGTTTTTGATTACACTTAGATGACAAAAAAAGCAAACGAGAATTGAAATTGGAGAAATATGAAGATTATGTATCACGACAGTGTAAAATGTTTCGAGAAAGCGCAAGGAGGAGAAAAGATCTCATCGACAGGCGTTTCTAATTGAAATAGTACATTTAGACTCGCGATCTCCTCTCGAATTTGTTACATCTCAGTCGGGCAGTTTCTTTTCGAAATTTCCGATATTTGCAGAAAGCGTGACAAGACAAAGGCATTCTCTGAAATCGATACGAGCCAAAGTTACTTTTACGACAATATTAACCGTATTTCCGGCCAGAGTCACGGTCGACGCGTTTGTCTTATTGCTCTAATCAATCAATACGTAATTCACCGTGAAACTATACCTCTATATAGATTATTCATGATCGATCGATACAAAATATCTTTCGCGGTCCGTCCTTTGACGGTGATCGAAACTATAATCGACTTGAGAATTGTGAAACATACCGGCGAGCGTTCGATCGAACCGCGTTGCGTCGAGATGCCGCTTAGACATCAATAAAGAAACGCTCTTATCTACTCCCGGCGTTTCGGTAGCGTGGCGATTGTGTTTATACATTCAAAAGCATAACAATTATCGAAGTTTCAGTTGGGGAAAATAACCAACGCGACTGAAATGAACGATAGCTCGCGCGACAGTTTGTGTCGCCTCTATTATTACAGCCAGTGCGGCGAAAATAAAGTGCGAAAAAATAAATCAGCATTATACTCGATATTGATTTCTACCATTTTGACGCAGCAAGGAATTATACAAACGGAATATTTCAATGTGTGTCACCAGCAATCGACAAGTCGAAAGTTTTTCTTTATAAAGTTGTTAGGGAGACAGTATTACCGTACATAAGAATGGCTTGACGATCGAGTCTATCTCTGTTGCCTCTATTGCCGTAAGGTGTGTGTGTGTGTATATATGAGGAACTTCGCAGGTAACAATGTAAAATATTAACATGACACCTTTCCATCTCGGTGCCGGATAAAACGGGTAACATGGTAAAGCGCGGTATTTTAAAGATGCATCGCGTTAAGTCACGACAATTACACGGACGCAACAACAGAGTTCCGTGAGATCTATTACCGGCGATGATTCGTGTATACGATATCGCGAGTCGCGAGATAAGGGATACCCGAGAGGCTGAAATGGATAATGGATAAACTGCATCCGCAAAAATTATGATAAATTCTGACACGGCTAAAGCCACTGTGAAGGACGCGGGAGTCACGACCTCGCGGTGGCAAGGATACGTTCTCCCTGGCGTCGCTGTAGATGGTCGTGGCAGGTGAGGTAAAAATATCCTTTATACACGCTGCCATATTGAAGAGGTCTTGTGTACAAGAGATACACATCGCATCAAAATCCGCCTCATTAAACACTCGCGGCGGCACGCATCAGAACGAAAGGTCACAAATTACACGTAGGACGAACGCGCGGCGAGCCGTTCGCAGCGCGGCGAAAGTCAAATTTCGCGAATTTAACAGATATAAATCTGCGCAAGGTGTGTTGTTCATTCCTGCGATCGTATCGCTCCTGCACCAGTCATTTCGCTAATTAACAGTTGCTGTGCTTCCACGTGATTGTCATCGAGATGCATTTGATACGTTTCAAAACGATGTTATCGAGAAAAGAAAGAGATGGAGGAAACGGAGATGCATCCTTTAACACCGATAAGACTACGGCGAAATGCTGTGAAACACGCGATTCGCGGGGAAGAAAGCGATAAAAATGAATAGAGATGTAGCCGATTAGTACGGATGGATCACCTCGATCGACGTTAATTAATATACAATAGCGAAGTAAAATCGGCCACCGGAAATTGCAAGCCAGCTCGCGTTTCTCCGCGCCAGCATACAGACGCTCGTAAAATACATCTATTTCAAGTAAAATCGCAGCGTGCGGCCAATTATTATGGTTTTCTCTCAAGCACGAGATCTGGGAAACACTTATTACTTTGAGCCGGCAATGTAAACCACAATTACTGCAACTAAAGAACAATGTGAGTGGTGAGGCACGGTACCGTAGTTATCAAGAAGAAAAAAAAACTCTTGACCAAACTCAAGCGAACAGAAACAATTGCGCGAGAGTTTACTGCGAAGCATGAGGCGCGCGCGTGTGCTGTGCGTGTGTGTCGTATCAAAATTTAAAACGTCGGTGAAAAGTTCTCGCGAATATTACTGCTGGCTGCTGGCACGTCGTGAGCGATGAGAAAACTTAAAGAAGCACGACAATCGCCTCGAAGAGATATCTAGAACGCATCGCGAACGTTACGTTCGTCATATGTTCTTTCTCTCGGCAATTCAAAAAAGGAGCAAAAAAGAGTGAAATTCCGACAGCCGATGATTGATTTGATCAGCACGTTTGTGTTCGGATTACATCGTGAGATGCCACCGCGGCGGCCATCGCAGTATGATTCGGCCATTTTCACGCGAATAAATAATTTCTACGAGCGAATAAGTCATTTTGTTTATTTATGCTCAGGAACATTCGACGGATCAATTGTGAGTTTCAACACTGCGAATGTTATAGGAAATCAGCGATGATGTAATCTCTGCAGGATAGATCACGTTGGTACTGATGACGTTGGCGGTACCTTCCTTCGCGGTAATAATGGCTGCCGAGGTTGAAATCCGCATGCGATAGCCAACATCGGCCGCTGCACCGTCATGTAATTCGCAACGTCTCTCGCGATGACTCGGCGGACCGATTATTCATAAATTCACTTTGATCCGTCGTGCCTTAAAGAAACCCGGGGGAGGGGGGGAGAGGGAGAAAATCGCAATAAGCTAATCGCGAATGGTATCTTATTACCGAGATTGCCATCAAAACTATAATTATGTAATTCCGCGCTCTCCATTCGTGCGATTAATTACATAATTACCCAATTCGTAGTACGAAACAAGAAACACCGCCATACGGCGAGTGTTTCTTGTCACTTTGATTTATCGCTTTTCATCGATACGCTGCCATTATTACTAATACTCCGCGACTGCTACCGGCCGAAGGTTGACGCAATAGATAGACCAAGTCGGCGCGATAAAGCACGACTGATCCAATACGCGGGGAATATTTATCAACTGTTTACTTCAAGGAGCAGACAGAGAGCGAAGGAGTGCGACAGCGTCGCACAAAGTAACCAACGAATAATATATATACGTACACATCGTGGTATAACTAAATGCTCAGAAAAATTTCAATAAACTTACGGCACGCAGACTTCGTGTGTCGTGCTGATTATGCGTAGTAAATTTATGCTGCGTCTGCGAGAGATAGAGACAGGGAGGGAGGGAGAGAGAGAGAGAGAGAGAGAGAGGGGGGGAGGGCGGGAGGGGGGAGAAAGAAAGAGGGAGGAGAGAGATATTCGTAATAAATCATATATACGGCGCACCTCGACACTATCGCGAGATCGCCTCGAACGCGACTCCGCGAATAGATCTCGACAGCGGGGAATGCAATCGCATCGCGCGAGTGCACACGTACGCGCTAGGAAGCGGATGATCTCCATCTCTGCCGCGGTTACATTGTATCCCAGTTCGCGCTAACGATTTTCGATCTAACGACGACTTCCTGGCATGTCTCGCGCGGAGATGCCGATCGTCGTATCAGTCGGCGTATCAGAAGAAATCACGCGAGCGACCTCGTCTAATTGGGAGCGTAATGTCGGTGCTCGTTGAGACTCATTGTCAACTACGTCGTGGCGCGCGTTCGCGCGCTAGACCTTCCACTGCGGCATTCTTCGTTTTAGCGTACGCGCTCTATCTCCGCTGACACACAACGACTCGCTAATAAATGTCGTCGAGTTTGCATATTCGAGCGAGCCAACAACGAGTCCGACATTGTATGCGAGATAACGATAAGTTGTATGAAGGATCGTATACGTGTTTCACGTGCGCTCTGAGCGAATTGGAAGATATAGGTTAATTGTGTCAATCGTCGATTGCGATCTACGCATTCCGGGATATTTACGTAACACAATAGCGAGATACCGGGGAGATGAAGCTCGCATGAGCAGGTGGAGCAGGTTTCCTCGTCAGATGTCGCGGCGTATATGATGAGCGAGAAAAAACGGCAAGAAAATATATGGCGCGTTCAAGTTTGCAAAACGGTGTTCTCATTACCTGCGTAACACTGCGAGCGGCCGATTTAACGGCGGTGATTCGCGCCGATAAGGGGATTGGCAGGCGACTGAATAAGAGAACGCGTGGAATCGATCGGCGACTATGGGAGGCGCATCCTCGCCAAGTTTTCACGGGACAAAAGCGCGAGGAGAATGAGACGATATCGCGCACTAAGAATTTGCATCTGTTGCAAATGGCCAACCGAGAGTTTACAGCGCCGCGAAACAAAGTTGGCAGCGCCAACTGCAGCGTGAAATTTGCGCGCGAGATTCCTCGAGATCAAAACTCGATTCGCGTTAGAATGCGCGTTCGCGCATTTCGCTATTTTCGTCGACTCTCGCACGTATTCGTATGTGTGTGTGTGTGTGTGTGTACATTCGCCGGTATATGCATACAAGTGCTTCGAGAAATCGCCGCAAGCTCGATAGCTCGAGAGCGATAGCGAAGCGGTGTTTCATCCGCTTGACCATCTTGTCGTTGCTTGACAATTTTATCAATGGTTGTCACTTTTATTTCCATTCGAAAATCAAGGCTGCTCAATCGGTCGTTCACCCTCGCTATTGCGAATATACGTTTTCAATAAGAACAATGCTCGCATACGCACCGCGCGCGATCTCTATATACTTTTTTTATTTTCTTCTCGTCCTTAACCTCTAATCTCTAAACCGAAATTACGCCACGCGCAACTAACCTTAAATCCAAGTCAAAACACAAGCGTGTTTCTACCATAGACATACGAATATAGGGACGGAGCATAGAGTTGCGGGGGGATAACCATTGCGGGACGGTGCGACGAGGTGAACTGTGCCTAAATCTAATTGGTGGTTGTGCCGTGTGTAAGTATTTGATACATACATAGATGTGTATGAAGTTGTGTGTGAGTGAAATTATGAAAAAAAAAAAGACACATGCGCAACCTCTGCAAAATACTGTCAGTGTAAATAGTTCTTATCATTTTGTTACATTTACTATTTGCCAATGACAGCCAAGTCGTTGCATCACGCACTCTGAATATGCGCACTATTGTAGCCAATGAAACTTAGGCACAGTCGCCCCCCGCATTTCAGCACAACTCCCCTCGCCTATCTTACGGGCTTATATGCTCTGTCCCAATATTCCTATGTTATGATTTCTACATATGTATCTATCATTAAATCCTAAGTGTTTCGCTAATATCTATTTCCTACCGATAAACGTTACTTCCTCCTTCCGCACTTTCCTGCACTCCGCTAAGGTAAAAGAAAAGAAAACCAAATTTGCCTGCGCGTGTATCATCCGTGTAACCGAGCCGGGCCACAAGATGGTTAATAAGCAGTACGCATAGAATAACGACTTACCTCTGGTCGCGCGTGACGCCACCTCCCCTCTTCTCCTGCTTCTCTCGGCGGCTGTCCCTTCCACGATGAAACACCGGGAAATAAATTGACGGTGTCGCGGCGAGGATCACCACGCTAGCTGGCTGGCTGGCTGGCTAGTTCGCTGTGTCTCGTCACATGCGAGCAACACTGTTGCAATCCGCCGATCACGCGAGATCCCGGCGTTCCCAGGGCGCTCGATCGTACGTTAAAACGCAACGTGTGGAACGTTTGCGCTAGCACGCGACCGGCCGAAACGCCGCAGTATTACACGTGCGCGCACTCTCGTCTCAACGACCTTACGACAGAGCGCGAATTGCTGCGGCGCGTCGTTCCGTTACGTATCTTCTCTCACGCATACGGGCGGTGCATCTTACACACACACACACACACACACACGCGCGCGCACGCACGTACACACATACGCACACACACGTGCGCGTACGTACGTACGCCAAGGTACGTTTATATGAACGAGCGAGGAAGGAGGGAGGGAGGAAGAGGGGCAAATGCGCGGCAGGAAGTCTCCGCCCCCGGAAATGGACAGTCCTCCCCTCTTTGCCACTTTTCTCGTCCCCCTTTTTCGCGCGTCTCCTGTTCTTATCTCTCACCCGCTTTTAGTCTCCGTCGTCCGTCTCTTGATAAACCGTTGCGTGCCTCCTCAATTAGAACGACGAGTTGCGTTGCGAAACATCCCACGGCCTTGCGATGAAGTCGTCGTCGTCGTCGTCGTCGTCGTCGTCGTCGTCGTCGTTGTTGTTGTAACCGCTGCCACAGTTCTCACGGCGATATGCGGGCGAACAGTCGCGCGGACGAATCGACGAAACTGAGCAACGAACGGACGTCGCGAGTATGTGCACTGAAAGTTCGTAGCACAACAAAACGCGGGCGATAAAGTCGCGCGCGCATACACTGCACACGCGCACTACGTCTCAGCAAGTCTCTCGTCCCTACCTACTTGTCATATACACATATACCGTCCTCTCTCTCTCTCTCTCTCTTTCTCTTTCTCTCTCTCTCTCTCTCTCTCTCTATCTATCTATCTCTCTCTCTCTCTCTCACTGTCGGATCAGCAGTTTCTTCCTTCCGTGCGCGAATGTGTATAGGCGCGCTTTACTTTTACCCCTTGCTGCGTCGAGCTGGCTCCAACGACGGACGATTCTGCCTCGGATTCTGTCTCGCTCGCAGGTAAGGTCGCGATCTTGCGATATACGTCGATTCGCGACGTCGAGACGCGACGCGACGCGACGCGAGTCGAGTCGAGTCGAGATGAGAGATGAGAAACCCGGACGCGCGGCAGTTATAAGGCAGATGCAAGAAACAGCGAAGCGAAATGGAAAGACACACCGAGAGCCGCCAGTACGCTCGACGCGCGACTGCATGCAGTCCGTAACTCACTAAGAGTGCTGGTAGCAGCGGCACGTCGCGAAATGCATGTTGGCCGCGGGCAACGCAGCGGAGAGGGAGCAACGTCGAGGTAAAGGGAGGAGATACGGCGGTTACTCCGGGAGTGCGAGGAGTCAGGAGGGGGTTCTCGCGGCGGTGTAGTGGTCGGCCGGGTGGAGGTGGCACGCGGTTTTAGACGGAACGTCGAGGTTTTACGATTGAATCCATTCGACGGAGTCGACTGACCGACCGCCACGTAGATTATACCTATGCGACATGCAGCGCTATTAAGTGACACTTCAATCGCCGTGTATTTTTACGCGGTGAGTTTTTGTCCATTTCCCCCTCCCCCCCCCCCCCCGCCCCCCAGGCACTGCATCGACACGCACGGATCGATGCAACGTCAATGCTAAATATACCGCCGATGACTTGAGTATGCAGACGGAGTCAGGACATATACTTACAACTGAACGTACATACATGTTGTGTAAGAATGCAATATTTTTCTTTTTCGATGTGTTTCGCAACGCATCCGTATCCGACAGAGAATAATTAGCTTCTCGATGATTCTCGGGAAGGATAAATTTTCTTAGCGGAATATCGAACGCTTTCTCTCAAGTGTTCCAAGTACATTGCCATCTTTCGTCTCACTGTAAGGTTATATGCGCGCGAGGTTATGGTCAAATATGCGAAGTTACGGTGAAGTTACTGCCGCGAAGTCTGATGCAAAGATAATCCGCGACGGGGAAAAGTAACATATCGATACAAACATATGGGAATGTACATGAAGCATTTCTGGATATTGTCGGACAACACTTGTCGCTGGAATCGATAACGCGTTAGCAGCGAGATATGAGGACGGGAACGAACCAGCAAAAACATCGCGCGGTTTAACATTTTCTAACTTCCGCAGTCTATGCAGATTACGGCAGCGCGCGGACAGCAATTAAACGCGAGAGTGTGGCGTGTGCTCGTCTAACGTCCATAATATCGAGAAGCATCAGCGGTGTAGGCGCGTGTTAAGTGCTGCGCGGCAGCGGCTTTATACATAATACATAAACGCGTGTTTGCACACGACCAAATATTGACGCGAAATGTGATATTCGCGAAATGTGAAATTCGCAGCGCGCGGGCGCGCGGATTATTTCGGCGTTAACTGCGCCCGTTGATTTGCAAACGGCACTTGTCGTCGGCGTGTTGCACCCGATGTTCGATGCGTGCCGTCTCGACAGAGGACGAGTATCGATGTTTTCGAGATGTTGCACCGATTTAGCGCTGCATTCGCGCCTGCGAATGCAACAACGTCGCTCGTGATTGCATGACGCGCGGCGAACCAGCAGCGTGCGGTCGCCGTCACGACGTGACTCTGCGGTGATTCTGTGGCTCACACGCAGTGCTGGCTTTAGGGACGCGCAGATACTAGGGCACCGAAAAATAAGAGACTACACGCATCTGAACCCGCTTCCGGATATAGCAGGACAAGTCTCACACACAGGCAGACATTTTGCGGTCATCGCGATTGTATTCTATCGGATGCAACCTGATTTGTTTCTAAAAGAACCATCTGCTTCTTGAGGCTAGGGAGCACAATTAAGCTGCTTCCGGATGAGCGATAGAGCGATCTGTTTCGCGTCGCGTTTCACGTACTGCTGCGTTATTTCAATTCTTCCAGGCTGGGACCCAGCCTGAACTCTTATCTCGCGTTGCACGCATTGAGTTGCCGACGAACGCGCATCGGTGAGCAATAGCGACGCGTCCGTCGTTTGTTTACCTCGCGTTGTATAATTCATCGAATCTGCGTCAGTACGACGCAGTGTTTAATAAATTAATGAAATCTATATTTACTATGTGATGAAAAAAAGTGGAAAAAGCGAACAAACAACTGCTTAGTTGTCGACGATAAGCTGTCTACTGGCTGGCTCTCGATGCAAGTTTTATAAGAGAGCCATTATAGCAGCGTATTGCTCTAAACGATATCGTTTATGCTATAGCGACACATATCCAAAAGGTTAAGTACGTCGATAGAAAGTTATATCGTGGACGTGCATACAGCTTGATTTCCACGGAATTAATTCTTTAAAGAAATGTTAACTTATGGCTATATAGACACATGGCAACATATGGCTATATATGTACATAGGAGTTTACATATTGGAGGATATAATTTACATCGCGATTTACCGTCAATGCGACTTATATCCACGGCGTTACATCGGCGTCCGCGCACGTCTAATATTGATCGCAAAATTGAGTGCAAAAGTTTGGATGGTTCTTGAAAACGATCAGTCTTACGGCGGTACGTACAAACATGCGGAAAATACACTGAAAGATACAATGGAAAACAATCAGCGATCACTTGGCAGAATGAGAACAAAAGAAAATCGTTCCGATAAAATCACTTATTTTTCCTCTCCTCATTTTTCCCTCACGAAATCCATCCAAACTTTCGCACGCACCCAATGTAACGATTAGACGATGTTGCGCGCATCGCGCTGCGATCCTCTCTTTCCTTCTCTCTTCTTCTTCCTTTTATTAATCTTGCTTTTTTTTTCACTGCCCCGCGCGACGCTCCGACTTCTATTCCCGTCAGGGTCTCGTAATAGCCACGGCGCATTCCAGAAATCGTCGTGTAATGCACTAAGTATCACGTATGCGAACAATGCAATCTAAACAACTGAAGACGGGCGTATCGCGACGAGGCGATAGGCGGGGAATGAAACTCGAATGAAGAAAGCGCATATGCGTGTGGTGAGCGTTCGCGCGGGAACAACTCCTGGTCGTAAAACGAAGCTAGTCGCGGAAAAGGATTTGATATATGTATACGAGCTTTTATGTTTAATATCCCTCGTACGGCGCGCGCGCGCGCTATCCTGTGCGATTCCTCTTGCCGAGGTACAGGCGAAGAGAGACCGACGATCATAATTGTTGGATAAGAGGTAAAACATGCGCCGAGGCCTCGCGCTTACCAGTATCTTGGATTTACGCGACGTTATTGATTTTCTCGGACGTTTTATCACGAGGCGTGTATGCTGCTTGTTGATTTTATTCGCGTTGCGATCAGCGTTAACAGACCCTACCAGACAATTTCGACGATCGCTTACGGCGCCGCGATTGCAGGCGACTGTCAGATAACGCCGAAACGGCGCGTTACAATGCAAGGGACACTTTCCGCGAGCTTCTCTCACTCGGCTAAATTCATCCTCCTTCTATGCTCATGCTCGCGGACGCTAAAAATCGCTTGTTCCTTTACGGCGAAATTTACGCGTATTGAGCAACAGACTATTACATTTTACGAGCGTAGTAAATAGTCGAAGTGGCTGTTTAAGGCGACGGATGCACACGATAGGAGAGAAACACTGGCACTTATCGTTTTCCAGCAGAATAAACATTGGTCACGGAATAGGGAATGTTGTAATCCACTGTGTGAGAAACATGAGAATTCGTCCGAGAGACTCGAGAGCTCGCTATGTGTGTACATAGTTCTAAATCCTTAAATAGACTCTTATCCTCGGTAGACTTTATAGACTCCGGGAACACGCTATGAGGAGAGCAGATCGAACCTTTTATCTATGTTGCCATTCTTCTGGCGACTCTCTCGCATTAGGATTTACGCGGCGGGACACGCTTTCTTCTCGTTGCCACTTTTCTCAGTCAATCGCCAAACTTCATTATGATAAGTATGAACGGTGTTTTCTCTTCGTACCGTTTGTGTGCGGGCAGAAGTCAGAGGCAAACCAAGAAAACTCGTCGTGATTATCGGAGGGGGATGATTCGGAGGGAGGATGGTGTCACGTTTCGTAGACGTAGGACGAGGGAAAGAGACAGGCCGAAAGAGGGACGGTCGTAAAATGTCGACGAAGTGGATTCACGGGTGCGATAGTCAACGTTTGGACAGGACAGATACGCGATACTACTCGGTACTCCACTTGTGGCTGAATTTACTGATTGAACCGCGGTAGCCGTCGTTGCGGTCGAAACGGATTTTACGCGTTCCGGAGATGCCGGAATACGCAGCAGCGGAAGTCTGTGCGAGCGCGCGAGGCGATTGTTTCAGGAAGGGTCTCGTAAAGTTCCTCGAGTCGATTCAAGTCCAAAACAGGTGAGTCTCTGCCCTCCGCCGAAACTGACGGAAATCGCCGAATGAGCGGGGAATGACGTTTATGTACTTGATACGCGGATATCATCCGCGTATCAAGCACATAAACGTCATTTACATCCGGATTTTTTGCTCTTAACGATGAGAGCGGTAATAATGTTGTTTCAGTCGAGATGTGTCTTCGAGACTGGTTTGGGTTTGGGAGGGTTACTTTGTTGTTCGTTCCCGTCACTTGTTATCAGTTTGAAAAAAAATTTGACTATTGATATCGTCATCAATTCTCAAAAATAGCTCGTTATCGTCGTGATGTTTAGCATACATATTTATCCGTGCTTGTCGCGCGCCTACTGTATCTTAAGATTATGTCAAAATCCCCCGGCAGATCACGTGTCGTTTTGAAACACACTATCAACGGTGCTTACAAAACGCGCAGGGAAGAACGCAGGGAATGAAAAGTCTCTGTGAATTCATGCAGCTATATAAATTACAACAATGCTTCAATAGTGCAACCGCAAGAGTGTTTGCCGTTCTCTCGTTATTACGTTATCGTTACTATGTTTCTATTGTATACGGCAGGATGTGAGATGCCACATCGTTGATTCGTTATTGAAAAGAGCAACGGCAATGACGTTGCGGGTAACACTTTATTTGCCACCCCGGATTTTCCCGGACCTTCGTACATTGCCAGATCTACCGTAATTGCACGAAATCTACCGAAATAAAATCGTTTCTACGAACATACCCCGTTCGTTCGTATTGGCATGTGTGCAAGAAATAATCTTTGGAGCATAAAATTTGCATTCAAATCACACAAGAGAGCTGCCCGTTTCGCAACGTAACTCGACTGACCCGTATAAAACATTCGTGTATGTATGCTTAAATAACGAGTTAATATTCATCGACGCAGTTTCTCAAACTATTCCATCCCCACCGTTTCACAATTCTCCCATATCTTTAT